GGGAAAAAAAAAAAAAAAAAAAACTGTCGTTGATTACTTATCTGCGTGACGGGAACGACGGCGATGACAAGGACGGCGCGGCGCAGCGACGAGGACGACAGATCATGGTGGTGATGATGTGGTGCGACGGCGGCGATCCCGTCCGTGATGATGATGACGGGGCACAATGACGACGATCACGATGATGACGATGATAACGTGGCACGGTGGCGACGATCTCGACGATGATGTTGATGATGGCCAGGTGACGACGTCGAAGCAGGGTGGGTCGGGCGGGTTCGAACCGCTCCTATACCAGTGTAACGTGCGTGAGGCTGAGGGTGAGCCGAGGGAGAGGAGAGAGAGGGAGAGAGTGACTGGCACTGCTGTTCTGATTCATCGTCACTCAGGAGCAGATCATGACTGTGGGGTAATCGTGGACACATACCTGGTCATCTTGCGGTCGACATTGCTCCAGTGCGCTGATGAGGACTGATTGATGTGCCACGTGGCACATTGTAGTAGAACTGCAGATGTACGTTCAGACTATTGATTATTTGAGGTGGTGATAAAGGAGGAAGCCCGAGGCAGAAGTGGGCATTGTCTCTCCACTCTCTAAGTCTATTCTCCCTCCTCTCTCTTTTCATCTGTGAATGATTCTCCCATCTCATTCTATCTGGACACGATTATGATTATTGATAATCATCAGCAGGTTTATATTCATCTGGGCTTGGATTCTTGACAAGTGTCTTCACGATCTGGGTTCATTGCAGGTACACTCCTGAACTGTTGCAATCAATACAGACCCTTAAGTTCGAACTCCACAGAGGAGTGAACAAGGCCATAGCCCTTTAAAAAAATATGTAGGCTGTATGGGAATTATCTAGGGACGGTCAGTTGCATAATAATATCACAAGGCCATAGCCCTTCAAAGAGGGAAAAAAAAAAAAAAAAACGAAGGAGAGAGAGAGAAGGTCATTCAAACTCTCAAGAACCGCCTCATCAATTTTTAATCCTATCCTGATTCGCTGGCATTCAGCCGCATGGGATGTGCACTCAGAATATTGTGTTATACATCTGTTTCATCAACTTTCATGTCTTAATATCCAGTTTTATAGGTGGCTGAAACTGGCTGTACTTTTAAGGGCGGATCTGCAAGGTGTGTGCAGAGAGTACATGTGTGAAACCATCCAGTTGAGACCGGCACAATCACAGGAAAAGCAGGTATGGTGCACAACAAGACTACACCCCACAGATAGAAATGGCTGCTGCTAACGACCATGGCGTGTTGAGTCTGTTGACGTATTCGGCTCCAAACCAATCTGCTGCAAGGACAAGGAAAAAAGAGGGTCTGAATAGCACCACGATAGCAAGTCGGGTGCATTCACCCTGTGGACCCCTTATAAAGGGGTGTCTGAATAGAACCACAATCTGCTAGACGAGTTCTGGGGGCAACGCTGATTTCAATGCAAAGACAACAGGAGAAACGTCCAAAATGTCGGAAAGCTGCGGAAACAGCTCAAGATATGGACCACCATGTTTTTCTTCATAGCTCATGACTTTCCGGATGTTCTGCAGCAAAAAACTCAGTATAAACTGCGAGGAAACCACGACTTACTTGATGATTGGCCCATAGAGGAAGCGGGGTGGAGATAATTCTCTCTTTAGGCTAGCAGGAGAGACGGAATGATTATTCAATTGTCCATCAATCATCGACTCTTGCTCCCCTTTGTCCTTCGCAGGATCAACGGGGTCCACAGCTTTCATCCATGACAATCTCTTCTGGCCTTCCTTCGTGCTCAGCTGTTTCACCTGCAGGACAAAGAATCTAGTCAGAACTTGCTGGGGGAGGAAAACAACACACAAGAGGATGACAGCCCATGGGGACAACAAAGTGGGGTGAACTATTTTTTTTCTTTTGGAGTAAGAAGAGGTTTAACGGGAAGTGTAAAAAAAAAAAAAAAAAGGAAAACAATAATACATTAATAATTGAATAATATTATAATACATTAGAAAAGACAAGTGATGACCCGACCAAGCATGGACTGAAACACACAGCTGATTTCTGAGTTTTGCTCATAGACTGAATGCCTTGCTGAGTTTCCCGCTTGCTACTAAGTTCTCTAAGTCTGGGTGTATGCACGCTTGCTGGACTGCATGTCTGTCTGAGTGCTGGTTGGCTTGAGTGTGTGTGTGGCCCGCAAGGGCACTTGTTCGTTCGTTGGGCCCTCAGGGCCGGTACTTACCTGTGGCCATGACATTGACAGACACGCGAGTCTGTCCCCTTCATTGGCAGACACGGCCTCGCTAGTTTGGTCATTTGGCGTTGCCGCCGCGACCACAGCCACTTTTGGCCGACGCTGATCTCTGCTCAGGCCTGGCGCAGACGAACGCTGGAGATTCTTGGCCTCCTTGTTCGTGACAATAATATGTGCGGCCTTGTCGAAGAGTTCTGCCGGTGTCGTCAGGGTGTCCTCGACGTGAGTCCAGGCATTGCCCAACGCCGGACACGCCCTGAAGTGAAGTACTGTTTGATGGCTTTGAAGCCCATTTGAATGTCTGGGACGGATGTCAAGCGTTTGTACTCGGCAATCCAGTCAACACTCGGCAGCGTGCCTTGATCTCCGGCGGCTCTACTTGAAACCGCTTATGCCACGCCGCCTTTAGATCCTCCCAGCTGATCTTGGTATGCAAGTCGGCAGCCACCACTCCATACTTGGACAGGAGATTGTCCAGCCATGCTTGGCACGCGCCTTCCGAATGGGAGTATTAAGTATGCGTGATGCTTGTGCGCGCTGACGTAGTGTAGCTGCAACGTGAGCTCGAACTTGCGGAACCATGGAATCGGGTCCATCTTCGTCGAGTCGCAGAAATCTCCTGCTCATCGAACTTTGGAGTTGTCTCACACGGTTCCAAGCTCGACTAGTTGGCGGCAGTACAGATCCGCTGCTCCAACTGTTGCGCTGCGGTTTGCTGTAACTGCACTCCGTCCTTGAGGGATCCGACGTCAATTCTCCAATGCCTCAAGGCGATCGGAGGTGTTGGAATAGCTGGCATCGAGGGCGGCGACGGATCGCTGCTCCAGCTGCCGGAGGCAGCTGTGGACTTGAGCCAATGCGTCGTCGAGGCTGTGGATGTCCTCCTGCTGTGTAATGCATGTTGCCAGGAGGTTCGTGAGATGGGAGAGGAGTAGAGTGATCTTGTTTTCACTCTCTTCCATCTTGCCATTTTCGGCCTCGTCCCGCCAATCCGCTGCCATTGTGAGCAAAGCTCGCTCTCCGCTGAATATCTTCTTGCGTCGTTGAATTCGTTCTTCATCGGCAGCCTTTGCTGCTGCCTCATCGTACTGGTGCTCCTGTTCAATTGCCAACAGACGTGCCTTCTTGGTGTCCTCTGCCTTCAGCTTTGCTGCGGCTGCTACTGCATCCGACCATTGCAGCAGCATCCGGGCCTGATAGGCCTCGTCCGTTTCCCCGGACTTCTGGTCCATGACAGCTGTTTGCGGCTGTCGGCTGACGTGTCCTGCTGACGTGGCGTGCTCACGTGGCAACTTACCAATGCCCCAGCAGGGGGTACCCGGAGACAGATAGAGAAGGTAAGACCAGAGGGGGCAACAACGTAGGTGGGGAGGGGTGGGTGGGATAAATCGCCCAGATAAGTTTTAACTTTGCAAAAAAAATCGAGAAAAAAGAAAATATACTCGTTTGCAAGTTCAGTAGGCCTCCCAATTCCCCCTGAAGTGCGAAATTATGAATGAGAAAAAAATTCGAACCTTCAGACTGCAATTGATTGTCCGATGAGAATTCCGAAAAAATAAAGTGCAGCAAATACTCGGAATTACTCAGATGAGAGTACGCGCAGTTGGAGAATGATAACTGCAAGAGGGATTTCCCGTACCGTTTTCAGAAAAACGAATTTCGGAAAAAAAAAATTCCGGATTTCCAAATAACGGGAAATTGCAAACGGAACTCGAAATTTTCAAAAAAAAATCAAAAAAAGATATTCTGGATTTTCCAACAACGAAATTTCGAATTTTCAGAAAACGGAAATTTCAGGTGTTGCGCTATTGCGATTTTCCACAACAGAAATAGCAGGAAAACGAAATCCAAGAAAAGAAAAAAAAAATTGATTTTCGGCAGTGAGGTCAAAATCATGATTTTGGGAGCTAACTAGTGTGCTCTAATCAATCAATCAAGACTAATCAGCTACTTAGTTCCCGCACACGTGTCAGATCAGGTTGAACTGATTCACGTGCGGTGTCCCGATACCAACTGTTACATTCCCAGCTGGGTGATGTACATATAAATCCGAGGATCCCCAATGTGATGAAAAGGACTGAATGGACAATGCAAGTCGAATCTCAACAAGCAATGTACATTCTGATAAATACAAAAATGGTGCTTTATAGCGCAGTGGAAGACTTGGATACAAGTCCTGACCTGACCAGGACTGACCTCTTTCACTTAGTACCAGACAGCGCAGTAGGATGCTAGAATACTAATGGCGAACCCAATCAATGTCGCAATGCAGACTAAACATACATCATTCCCATCACAGGGTGTGGATGGGCCTGGCGCTACACACAGGAAGAGGGTGCCAGGTCCTGACATGCACAGACGAAGAGGAGGGGATCAGACGGAGAAGAGGAGGGGGAAGTGGGAAAGTCGTCAACACCAAGTCTCGGTACAAGTCCCAAATAATCCCTCGTCAAAATGTCTGAAGCCCATGTCGGGTCTGGATCCAAATGTCACCAAGCTCTCTCTCGTAGTAGTAGTAGTAGTAGTAGTAGTAGTAGTCTGCTGATGCAGTGAAGTCAGGTAGTGAGAGGGTGAGAGGGAGATGGACTGAGAAGAGGAAGAAGAACTCTGTCTCTCTCTCTCTTTCACGTGCCAGGTACTAACCTGTGAAGATGGCGCTGTGCTGCAGGTACCTCGAAGACGAAGCTGGAGCAATGGCGCTGCAGGTAAGTCTCCCTGGCCTCCGCCCCATCTCTCCCACTCTCGTACTGCTCTAGCTCCTATGGCGCCCAGCGCTGAAGACTACAGCTAACGCTACTAGCGCCCAGCGCTGAAGACTACTGCTAGCGCTACTACTACTCCTGCAACGCTCCTCCAGAGTGCTGCTGCCGAATCCTGAAGACTACCTCCTGCCTCCTGAACTGCACGTGAAGAGCCTGGGAAGTACCTAGGAACTACCTGCAGCCTGCAAGGGCGGCCCAGTCTTATATAGTGCTGGCCCGTCCAGGAGGCTGCTCTTGCCAATGCCAAAACGTGCCAGACCCTGGGGTTGAATAGGGATTTATAGTGCTCTTGAGTTTGATTTTTTCCTTTTTTTTTTGCCTGATTGTTTTTTTTATGTTTGCATTATGACCCTGCATAGTTTGTTCGCAAAAGTTTCGACAACATTGCTTGTAGCAACGCGGCAAAAAAACCCGAATTTTTGGCCTTCCATTAACCACTAGTGATGGCCCTCCGTTTCAGACTGAAAAGACTCAGGGCCGGAAAGGCCCTGATTTAGCCTGAAACGACACAGGGCCTGTAGGCCCTTGTTTTCAGGCTTTCAGGCAGAAACGACACGGGGCCTATAGGCCCTTGTTTTCAGGCTTTTGCAGCCTGTTGCAGGCCCAGCATGTAACACTCTCTCTCTCTCTCTCTCTCTCTCTCTCTCTCTCTCTCTCTCTCTCTCTCTCTCTCTCTCTCTCTCTCTCTCTCT